AACTTAAAACTTTTAGGCCAGGCGCAGTGGCTCACACCTGTAATCCCAGCACTTTGGGAGGCTGGGGCGGGTGGATCACCTGAGGTCAGGAGTTCGAGACCAGCCTGACCAACATGGAGAAACCCTGTCTCTACTAAAACTACAAAATTAGCCGGGCGTGGTGGCCCATGCCTGTAATCCCAGCTACTCGGGAGGCTGAGGGAGGAGAATCACTTGAACCCTGGAGGCGGAGGTTGTGGTGAGCCGAGATCACGCCATTACACTCTAGCCTGGGCAAGAAGAGCAAAACTCCATGTCAAAAGAAGAAAAAAAAGAACTAGCATTTTGTGTTCGTATCATGCTTACTTTTGACTTTGACTAACTAAGATGCCATGCTGTGTACTTTATTTATATTAAGTCATTTGCCCCCTCCCTCCCCATTGGCCCTATGGGTTAGGTAATATTATCTTTATTTTACAGATAAATTGAAACTAAGAAAGATTAAATAGCTTGTTTAGGAGCCAAGATCATATGTTTCTGTCTGCTGTTAGAACCCATAGTCATTACTGTTATGTTGACTGTGTTGGGCGGTTGGGTATACAGGGTTGAAAAAAACAGATATTGTCCATAATGGATGTGATCTTTTCAGTCTAATGTGTGTGTAGGGGGAAGGATGAATGTTAGGCATTATTCAAATTATCCAAATAAGTAATGAAATGATTTAGTGCTGTGAGAGAAAGGAGATGGGAGAGATTACTACAACGGGGGAACTTTATTTCAATTGGGCCAGAGTTTGAATTCATTGTAGTAATTACTTTATATTTTCACATGTATGACGGTGCTATGTTGGGTTTTAGAACAGAGAGACTGGCTGGGTGCGGTGGCTCATGCCTGTAGTCCCAACACTTTGGGAGATGGAGGTGGGCGGGTCACCTGAGGTCAGGAGTTCAAGACCAGCCTGACCAACATGGTGAAACTCTGTCTCTACTAAAAATACAAAAATTAGTTGGGCATAGTGGTGGATGCCTGTAATACCAGCTGCTCGGGAGGCTGAGGATTGCTTGAACCCGGGAGGCAGAGGTTGCAGTGA